TGAGGGATCATTTCTCCAATTGGGATAAAGTTGAGGGACCATTTCTCCAGTTAGATTAAAGTTGAGGGATCATTGGTAATAGATTTTTAATTGAGAGACTATAGCTGCACGTTTTGATGAGTTAAAGGATCATGGCTAATGGATTTTTAGTTGATGGACCATTGCTCCAATTGAGTTAAAGTTGAGAGACCATTGCTACAGTTTACTCTTAGCAAAAATATAAGTCAATCCTAGAAAAGCACTTGAAATGCTTTATGTGCTTCTTGAAGCAATTCAAATTTTTTTAAAACCCAAAAACATTTCTCCGAAAACACTTGAAGTTACGTACCTGGACCTGAGCTACTGAATCCATTAAATTCTCTAGTTGGGGGTATTTATGTGCTAACGCTTAACTTAAAGGACCAATTGGGATAAAGTTGAGGGACCATTTCTCCAATTAGATTAAAGTTGAGGGATCATTGGTAATAGATTTTTAATTGAGGGACTATAGCTGCACGTTTTGATGAGTTGAGGGATCATGGCTAATGGATTTTTAGTTGAGGGACCATTGCTCCAATTGAGTTAAAGTTGAGAGACCATTGCTACAGTTTACTCTTAGCAAAAATATAAGTCAATCCTAGAAAAGTACTCGAAGTGCTTTATGTGCTTCTTGAAGCAATTCAACTTTTTTTAAAACCCAAAAACATTTCTCCGAAAACACTTGAAGTTCCATACCTGGACCTGAGCTACTGAATCCATTCAATTCTCTAGTTGGGGGGTATTTATGTGCTAACGCTTAACTTAAAGGACCAATTGGGATAAAGTTGAGGGACCATTTCTCCAGTTAGATTAAAGTTGAGAGATCATTGGTAATAGATTTTTAATTGAGGGACTATAGCTGCACATTTTGATGAGTTGAGAGATCATGGCTAATGGATTTTTAGTTGAGGGACCATTGCTCCAATTGAGTTAAAGTTGAGAGACCATTGCTACAGTTTACTCTTAGCAAAAATATAAGTCAATCCTAGAAAAGCACTTGAAGCAATTCAAATTTTTTTAAAACCCAAAAACATTTCTCCGAAAACACTTGAAGTTATGTACCTGGACCTGAGCTACTGAATCCATTCAATTCTCTGGTCGGGGGGTATTTATGTGCTAATGCTTAACTTAAAGGACCAATGTGGAATAAGAAAGATAACGACCTGAACTAAAGTATTTATCAACCAACTTTCTTCTAAAGAAGATTAGTGATCTTCTTTTGTCACCCACTAACAGATTTGAGTATCTTCATTGATATTTAAACTTTTGCAAGTAGTTTGTAAGCCCTGCGTATACTATGGAATCAATAATCAACAGAGTTTTATTTTAACCTAACAAAAAAAACCAAATAAATAAGAGTTTGATTTTAGATAACTTTAATGAAAATCTCCCGGTACTGTTCACTTTAACGAAAAACCACATTTTTACACTAAAAAATCAATCTTGGTACAATTCACTTTACCCTTTAGGGAACTTTAACGAAAAGCTCCCGATACTATTCACTTTAACGAAAAACCACATTTTTACACTAAAAAATCAATCTTGGTACTTGTTCAGACACAAATTTACACCATCAGTCTATGCAATCGAGGCCGTTGAGTAAGCATAGTTCTAGACCGTCGGATAAGAAAGTTAAGATAATTTTGTTTTGAGATAATGTTATGGTTTTTAATCATAATAATTATCTTTTAATAAATTATCTCAATTTTCTTATACAAAATAAATGGGATAAAAATCATAGTCCCAACGTAAAAGCAGGTAGAACAGTCTGATTTAATTTGGATTTGTTAGCAATGTGCTGTGTGGATTAGAGCAACTCAGCTTGGGCATAGCATGGGATTTGTTGGTCTTGGATAATGGTGAGACAAAAACCTAGGTAGGCTAAGTCTTTTTTGCATAGTGATGGATGTGGTCAGATGAATTGATGATGGAATCACAAGCATGCCGTGTGAAAGATTATTTCCTATATAATTATTAATTCAATGATGGGATGAAAGAAAAGTCATGTGGTAATAAAGGAGTAGTTGGACTAGGAAACCTAGTCTGAGGAGGCATGCAAAAGATGAGTCCTCTAATAATGCACGTGGCCTCCATTTGGGATGTGGGGTTTTGATGACGCATGTTAGGTGGAGGAGGTGGTAAAATTCCAATCAATTTCTACAAAGTTATCAGGACATGCCAAGCAAGAACTGAAAGCTATAAGTACAAGTCACTCTATATCAGAAGAGGACCTATCCAATTCAACACATAACTGCCTTGCGCAAACCTCTCAAACATCTTGAGATTTTTATTTTCTTTTTCCGCCGACACATCTTCAGTTTGGATAAACAGCACTGTGAAGGCAACCGGCAAACATCTTTAGTTTGGATAAACAACACTGTTGCCGTAGAATCAGTCGACCAAGGAGCACATTCAGTTTGGATAAACAGCATTGCGTCGAAGTTGATTGATTACCTATCCAAATCTCGGTTGAGAAGGGTTTCCGAATCCTTATTGGTAGAGGTCATCTTATTAGCCTTCTCAGAAAAGTAAGGTATTACGAGTTACGACATTCGGCACATTAAACGCTAAGTGGTTTTATGATTGGATACTCATAAGTGAGTTTCAGAGTTTGGCATTCTGACGGCCGAACCACATTTACCATCAAGACATACATCTCCTTTAAGTACTTGTGTTCATATAGTCTGGTGTCGATTCGACGTGCTTATATTCTTCCGAATATAATCACTGTGACCGAATCCGGCGTCGACGATTCGTGAACTTCGTAGAACTAGCAGCCTTGTCTTCAGGCTCAAGAACCCGAAAGCCAAGACTTGTTCCTTCCTTGGCCACAATTGCAAGATCAAGAAGTCAGTAACGCGCTCAACGCAACATCAACAAATTGTACTCCTCGACCAAGCTCGGCCAACAAGTTGGCACGCCCCGCATCAACCGAATGACGTAGTTAGCTCATTAGTTACTTGGCCGGCGCACCGCGTAAGCTTTGTAATTTTTAGGGTCAACAGTACTATTCACTTTACCCTTTATTTTGTCTTTATTGTTAAAACTCAAAATTTTCAAGCTATTTTCATTAGTTTTCCTTTTATTTTGTCTTTATCATTAAAACTCAAAGTTTTCAAGCCTTTTTCATTAATTTTTTTTTTCAAAAGATAGAAATTTATTAGAAATTAAATACGAACAATTACATTTGTATCTTCTACTAAAATATTAAAAAGAAACTCAGGACCTAATTTATCCCAGCCAAATCTCCCGCCATGCTTGACGACATACACCGCTATCGAATGGGCTGTACGATTGCATTGACGAGGGGTAAAGCAAAACCTTACCAACTGAAATAAACTAATCATTCTCCAAATGTCTAGGATATAAATCTCGAGATTCACATTAACCGGGGTCTTCTTGTTTAGCATCTTAATCAAGCCTTTGGAATCCGATTACACCACTAGTCTAGTACTAACCTCCCCATCCTCCCTCCCCACCATCATCTCCAGTCCCTATCTAATCGCCTCCGCCTCTACCATGGTGGCATCCACAAACCGTCCACCTCCTACCCCTCCTACAAGCTTTGGGATACCCACAAAGTCCTTAAGTACCTACCTCACCCCTCTCTCCCCCGTGTCCTTCCTACATGCTGCATCACAGTTCATTTTTAATTCCCCATAAGCCGACTTCTGCCACTTAACTACTCCTTCCCCACCTATCAACCTTTCCTCATACTCCACCCCCTCACCTGTACCCTCCCCGATGTCTTCCCCAAAACCCAACCCGATCCTATCCCTCATACCACTCTCATCTGCTCCACCCTCCCTCACCGTAACATCTATAACATTCCTATATTCCTCCATATGCCACTGCCATAGCTCCACTGCCAACTGTGGTAATGTCTGTACCCCCTTAAAAACCATTTCATTCCTACACTTCCAAATTCGCTAGAAGCCAAATACCACCTGTTGCAAGATCAATTCAGCATCTACTTCGTTCTCCAAACACTTTACAATCTGCTGCCATCCCTCCAAAAATTCATTCAACCCCATAGCTGCCATATTTATTTGCAATGACGTCCCAAACCAAAAAATACGACTAAACTCACAATCAAAGAAAATATGAGCCTTAGTTTCATCACTTGCTCCACATAATTCACATCTATTCACTATTCGGATCCTCCTATGTTCCAAATTATGCCTAACCGCTAAAGCTTTCCTACCAGCCTTCCAAATAAAGAACCAGAGTTTCTGCGGAACATCGAGAGTCCAAATCTTCTTCCATGTCCCTCCCAATAAGCCCAAAGAACTCGCCATCCCACTCCCTGTCCTTCCAAACTCACCATTTTTCAACACCATCGCAAGCGCTTCCAAATTTCACCCCTGCCTATCCGCCGTCATCAACTCACACACCTTTGCATTAGGATCCATATTCCTCAACACCGGTTTAAACAAATGGGGCTTAGGCACTCATGGCTCAGCCACTCGAACCATCTCTCTATTGCCCACCCTCCATCTAACCTCTTGGTGCAAAATTTGTCTCCCCAGAAGAATACCTTTCCACCCCCACGATGATTTCTTCTACTGACTTACCTCCAGAAAAAAGATGAATTAGGAAAATATTTGTCCCGAAGCACATACTAAGCATCGAAACTGGCTTCCACAACACCCTCCAACTAATTTTATCATGCATAGCCAAATTAAACCCAATAAGGTCTCGAAAGCCCAAACCTCTAACCTTCTTACTCTTGGTCATTTTATCCCATGCCACCCAATGACATCCCTTGGTTTTTGCTTGACTTCTCCACCAAAACTGAGCAATGACTTGCTCTCTTTACACATTCTCACTAGCAACTTAAAACATGCCATAGCATGATTTAGCATCGCCATTGCCATCGATTTAATCAATATTTCTTTCCCCGCCAGCGACAAAAATTGCTCCGCCCACCCATCTATGCGACTTTCAAAGCCACGACGAACAGATTCAAAAATCACCTTTTTCTAATGTCCAAAATCCGCCTGGATTCCCAAATATTTTCCAAAGCCATCTCTTGCTTGAATATTCAATCTCGACACAATACGCTTTTTATTCTTCATCAAACAACCCTTCCCAAAGAAAATAGAACTTTTCTCCAAGTTAATGATTTGACCAGATTCCTGACCATACTTCTCCAATATCCTTATTACATTCCTTGCCTCCATCTCATCCGCTTTGCAAAACACCACCGAATCATCTGCAAAAAAACAAATGAGATTTGGCATTTGCTCCAAGCGCCACCCGCACCCCACTAATTTGTCCTTCCATTTCATTTTTTCGTATATAAGCTGATAGAGCTTCTGCACATATGAGAAAAAGAAAAGGTGATAACGGGTCACCCTACCTCAACCCCCTCTCCGATCGGAAGTACCTCGATGGTACACCATTCACCATCACACTATATGACACCGTAGAGATGCATTCAATTATCCATGTACAAAATAGTGGATGAAAACCCAAGTTTCTCATAACCTCAATCAGAAAACTCCATTCCACTCGATCATATGCTTTTGCCATATCTAATTTGACCGCCATTCGACCCTTATCGCCCTCCACACCCTGCTTTAAAGAATGCAATATTTCATGAACAACCAAAATGTTATCATGAATCTGCCTCCCCGGTACAAATGCCAATTGATTGCCACTAATAACCCGGTCCATCACATTCTTCAATCTTTTTGTCAGAACTTTAGCAATTATCTTATACACAACATTACATAATGGGATCGGCCTAAGTTCTGTCATCCTTCGCGTAGCCTTCACCTTCGGTATCAAGACAATATGGGTATGATTAACCTTCTGTAACAACCTCCTTGAGTGGTGAAAAGCCTACACCATCTGGATAATATCCTCCCTCACCACCTCCCAATGATCCTGAAAAAAACCAACTGTAAAACCGTCAGGACCTCAGAGATTTAGTAGCTGGAATCTGGTACACAACATCTCTAATTTCATCCACAGAAAATGGCCTAATAAGTTTTGCATTCTGCCTCTCATCAACCTTTTTTCCCACACAACCCGCCACTTCCCCTTCCGGCCGAGCACAACCAGACTGAAATAATGAGGTAAAATAATTAACCACAATCTATTGTACACATACGGTTTCCTTTTGCCATACTCCATTGCTATCCTCCAAACCCAAGATCCGATTTCTTCTTCTCCGTTGAGTCGTTTGAGCATGAAAAAACTTAATATTTTTGTCCCCTTCTCGGAGCCACATATTCCGAGATTTCACTTTCCAATATAATTCTTCATCCTTAATAGCCACCTTCAAATCTTTCTCATTCCCCCTGATATAGTCTTGCTGCACACCCCCATCCACCACCCCCTTCCTAATCTCTGCACAAAGCTCCACAATACGGCGTTGGGAATTCGGTTTCGAGATCCTCTTCCACTCTCCCAAAAGGTGCCGTGTCCCCTTAAGCTTTTCACATACCTTAACTAATGAACCCTCCACCGATTTCCTCCAAGCATCCGTGATAATCTCTTGACATTCCGGCATCTTCCCCCATCTAGAATCATAAATGAAATGCCGTGGCCCTTTCAGAGAGTTCCCTTCAGTAGACAAAATTAGCATGGAATGATTTGAACCCTCCAACACCACATGCTTAATTTTCTTTTGATTTTAACAATTATTTTTTCTTTCAAAAGTTCGATTTCATAATTAATTATTATTATTTATGAAAGTTGAATTTGATTATAATTATTCACACAAACCACGTAAGAAGAATGATGATAATGATGAATCTGGAGGCAGCCTGGTGAACTGGCCAGGCCATATTTTTAACTAAAAGTCTTCGCAAAGAGTGTCGTAATCAGCCCCCACTGTGGTCTACTGGTATCCTCTGTCCCAAGTTCAGCCAACATTTGGAATAATATTATTGCAGAGAAGATTCTCATATATTTAGTTTCGTAGGAGGCGGGACCATCTTAATAAACTACACCAGGTCGAGCACTTTGACCTTCACTAATATTAGTTAATTACCTAATGCAGCATTAGTTATTTTAATACAAATATCTGCTTAATTTGCAAAAGTATCAAAACAGATCGACTTGGATTTGGCCTTTTCCTGAGTTTTTTTTTTTTTTTTTAAACAATATTATCTATACTTTTATTATGTCAAGGAAATGAACGGGATGAGGGAAAAAAAGCTGAATATTGAACTGAATGGGGCCCTAGCTGAAAGCCATTACACGTGTATGTCACATAATCTTATTTTGAAGATGATTTCTACACATTTTTCTATTTATTTTTTAATTAATATTGATCCGTCTTTTGTTTAACTAAATATATTGAAGAGCTAGAATTAAGAGAGGTATGCAGAGTGAAAAAGAAATTGTCGAAATCACTTTCCTGCCAACCTTATATTAACAAACAACTGAGTATTGCCAACCGAAAATGATATATAATCTTTAATTATGTTGTGGCCAATTTATCTAACAAGGAGGGAGAGAGGGTCGCGGCATAGAGAGAGAGAGTGGAGAAAATATGAGATTTATGGGGTGTATGAGTTGTGTTTCCCCCCACAGACTGCTTTTGTTTATAGTAGTAAAGAGGAGAAGAATCTTTGTCCATCAAGGAAATAGAATCCTATTAGAGAAAGAACACTAGCAACCAAATTTATCTAGGATTTACACAATCACACTTTAATATATTATATTCATAATATACTCCTCCTTGAATGTGTAAATACTCAAGCAGATTCGTCATCTAGTAGAGTTGAGGAAGTCGACTCTTCAGCACTGATTCTAGGAACACGCTAGTCTTAGACAAAAGGAACTTGCATATGGACCTAAATCTCACAAAAACCTAATGACTATGATAAAACCCAAGGCCGGACAAAAACTCATAGTCTAAGGAAAGTTTGTGAGGAAGTACAAAGTCAAATTAAACATCTACGAGATATACATTAGAGATATGACCAACCTAGGATGGGTGCCTCATCAAAGACTCGTCAGGTAGCAAAAACTCAAAGAGAAAAATGCTCTTAATCGTAGGAAAAAAGTACATTAAGATCAAGTGAGTATATTTCAGAATACTTCCCCTGAATTAGATATAATTCCAAAGAGAACTAAAGAGTTAAAATGTTTCTTGGTGTGTGAAGTTCGAAACCTAATGGTTTTGCTTTACTATAATTTTATTTTTAAATTAGTCATACAAAATAAAAGGTCCAACTTGAACCCGAATCAGCCTATCGAAGTATATAGGGGAGGTCAATTTTTGCATTTCCAATAACAATTAAGTGTTCCCCAAAGGATTATCTACATTATCAATTTAAAAGAGTTAGCAAATAACCTTGAATTTTTTTAAATTCTTGCCTTTTCAGTTTCCAATAACAATTAGGTGTTCCCCCAAGGATTATGTACATTATCAATTGAAAAGAGTTAGCAAATAACCTTGATTATGTAACTTAATTAGGATTTTTGCGGCTAAGAAAACAAGATGAATAATATTTCAGTGACGTTGTGATATAGTTATCAAATTTATGTTAAATGTTTCTTTAGTTTTTCTTTTCATTGTCACATTCTTGAATTATCTTAGGCATTATATAATAACAAATTAGTAATTATTTACCAAAAAAAAAACCAATGTGAATGTGCAACATATTATAGTGCCTAAGAACACAAGGATCTCTTTTTAGCAGCTCGACCTGGGCTCCCAAAATCTCATGACCGGGCCTGAGCCGGCCAGTCGGACAGCTTTAACGAGCACTTCTTTTCCTCTTATAGAAAGAAGCTTACCCTTCCAACTCCCTCCCAACTCTTTACGTTAGCTCCCAACAATCTTTTAGTGCACAGAACATCAGACATAGTAGGCAGACCAAGGTACCATTCATGACACTAAACAACTGGCATTGATAATTGTGTCTGTAAGGTAGCCTGGATATCTTCCGTTGTTGAGGCACAAGGCATGGCAGACTTCTCCACATTTATTTTCTGGCCTGAAGCCGATTTGTATAAAGCAAATAACTGTTATTTTAGTAACTTCAGAAGAAGAAGCATTAAAACAATAAACTCTCACTCGCAGAAAATAAATGGTTTATTGGCGGAGCCTCAGGAGCAATAGCTTACCATGAATCTTGCAATCCAATTTCGCTTTCTGGATAGGAGCTGAAAATCCTTCAGCTACAATTAAGAATAGATACCGGGAGATGGGGTCCCCCTGTCGTAGGACCCGAGAAGGTATAAAGTGGCCAAACGGCCTGCCGCGAATTTTTACGGCCGAAACCGAAAAGAGAGTCGAAATCACTATTCGGTTTGGTTTGGTTCGATTTTTTTAGTTTTTTTTTGGTTGGGTTTTATTCGGTTTGGTTTTTTTTTTTTTTTTTTTTTTTTTATAATCTTAATGAAACACTTCTGGTATTATTTACTTTTAACGTTAAAGACATTTTTACCTTGAAAAGTCACTCCTGATACTATTCACTTACACCTTTATTATATCTTTTGATTAAAACTAAAGTTTTTGAGGATTTTTCTTTAGTTTTTATTTTTAATTTTTTTATATGAACATTTCAAATTTTCAATATTTAAAAACAATTCAAAGTTTAACAATTCCAACTACGATTATAATTTGATTATTAATCGATCGTATGGTTGAACAGTTATAATGCCTTGTTTGAATATTCAATAACCTAACCATTTGAACTCCAGACCGATATTGGATAACCTAATCATTTTGAACTCCAGAGTACAACAGCAAACTGCAAAATAAGATTTCGGTTATTCAAATTCAATTGTGGTATGGTTAGGTTATTCAATAATCAATTGTATGACTACTGATCTTTTTCTTATCAAGCAAACGTTTGAAAAAGGAATACTAATTACTAAAATGAAAATCTCGAAGTACTGGGGGTGGAATCGAATGAAGAAATGTTCTTGCCTCTTCAGTCAATAACACCGAACAGAGTCATGCAAGAAGCAACAATCACCCTTTCAAATGTAAATAGACAAATAACAAAATCCTACTCATCGTTTTGTTTTGGACAAGAAGTTTCTATTGTCAAGAAGTGACAGAAAGGAGAGAACAGTTGAAACTTGAATTTAAATTATCTTCTTTCCATTTGATAAGTGTTCCGTGGTAAAATTCTAATAACTATATTCAAGAGGAGAAAATGGTAGACATACATTCGACATGTGGAGATTTCGATATCTACAAAGCCAAAGCATAGTTTTCAAAAACCACAAGAAGGAAAGAATGCTCAGGAGCATCACATGACCAGGAAGCGTTGTTTTAAGTGTGTTTTGTATTCACTTCGATTTGGTTCTGGTTTCTAAACCTCTAAAACCGAAACCGAACCAAGAAGATTTGGTTTGATTTTGTTGTTTTATTCATTTCAAATGAGACGACTTGCAGGAATAAGATATGATAATTGTAATGATTAGCCATTTAGTACTACGGTCTAATGGTATTCCTCTTCACTGGTAGATGAAAGATCTTAGTTTCGATTCTCGCGAATAATGAATTTGAACCACATTATTGCTAGTTCATTGTGAGGCTAAGGTGACCTCCTCTCTCTTAGTGTGGATAATATTCATTTATGCAAAAAAAAAAAAATTGTAATGATTAAGAGTCTAAAAGATTACTTACGTATAAAGAGATTATGTTCTACGTACATAAAACATCTTGAAATACTTTATTTTCTAGGAGATTAATTTTTTAAAACAATTGATATTCTTGTTCTTAAATTATCTTGCAAGTTTAAAACCCTAGAAGATATATGTATCATTGTTTTTATATAAAATAC